TTCTTTTGAATTCAAATCAGGTCCGAGTGCGGTCGTATATTCACCCGAAATTTCGGCAGCCTCCCGACATCTCCCACGTTTAGAGGAAAACTACGAGAAACTTAGCCTTTCCACCACACACAATAAAGGCGTGTATGGTAAGTGTCCTCAGATGAGGACACCGCGGCCGTGATCTTCTTTCCCACCACACGCAATAAAGGCTTGTATGGGGTTTTCGGTACCTATTTGAAAAAGGCAGATGCTTTCCCCCCGCTCGGAGGTACTTATGAGTGACCCCGCCTTGCTGTAGGTGCCACACCGGGGTCCCATCCCACCACGCACAATAAAGTCGTCTATGGGCAGTTTTTCGGTGCTCCACGAACATTGAAGTAGGGCTTTAGCTGATTACCTGCCTCGTCGTAGGCGTCGCACTGGGGTCCCATCCTACCACGCGCAATAAAGGCATATATGAGCGGTTTTTCGGTGCACCGTGAACTTCAAGGGCAGGTATTGTATTTTCATTTTTATTTTTTCTACGGTATTTAACGTGACAGAGAGGTCGCTAGAGTGATGTGCAATCGACGTGGGAGGAGGTCGTGCACGATGTGGGAGGGGCAGAGAAGGTATTGTATTTTTATTTTTATTTTTTATTTTTTTGTTTTGCCTGCCACGGGAAAGGGTCAACAAGCACATCTTGGGTTAAATTTGACTTGATTGTGCTTAACTCGAGTTTGAATTGGCTTTTACATATAGTCGTCTGACTATGATCTCTTGATCACAGTTGCTCTACTATGTTCTCTCAATGACCGTCGCTCGACTATGATTTCTTGGCCATTGTTGATGGAGTATTGTCTCTTGACCACCGTTGCTCAGATATCATATGCTTGACTATTGTCTCCCACTGACTTCGTTGCCAATAACATTAACTCACGAAATTTCTTGTAAGGCTAATGCATGCTGTTGTCGACGCCCTCCAATTTCGTCACCATTCTTCACCAATAATGTTGGCGCAAGATTAACAAAAAAAAAATGTTGATGAAAGATTTCTCCTATAAGGCCTATATGCGCTGTCAAAGTACTTCATTGTCTATCAGGTATGTCGTCAATGCATGCCTTCGCTTATAAGGTTGATGCACTCCTTTGCCACTAATGATGATGCACATAGACTTCATCGCTTGTTGTTGCTCACTACATTGATGCATTCTTAACCAGTAATGTCGATGCATGTTATCAGCACCAACTTTGATTTCCGTTGTCAACATCAAAGATTATATTTGACTTGGCATATGGTTTCATCTTCTCAAATGAGAATGACCAAATATATTATAAACACTCTCTTGAAGACCATTTCAATACCTTAAGGTTCTTTCAACTTTCACTAGTGAATCGATCCTTCATAGCTCATGTTTATCATATTGTATCAAAACCTTTCATAATTATAGGGAATGCATCATTTGCAACTGATAATATGCATTAGTAGAACAATTTTAATTGGGTCAGTCTCCATGATTTGTTTTCCTTTAATGATTTTTCACATAAAAAAATTTGATGTCTCTTAGAACTAATTTATTTGTATGTATGCTGGATCTTCATATAAAGCTAAGATGTTAAAGTCTTTGTCTGTACTATTATAAATATTTTAGCACGTTATAATTTGATGTCATTTGTAGGAAATTTCTAAAGTATTATAAACACCTATTTATTGACTAACTATCAATCCTTTAATTGATGACAACATAATCTAGTTAGTGAAGGCCACCCAAGCTTGAAATTGGAGGATCTCATCTACAAAAAGGATGAGCCATCAAGCTCAAATCATATCCACCTTTCACCAATCTCAGGTGGTTTGATGATTGTACTTGATTGTAGGGATGGGTCTTCTGCTATCAAGTGCTAGTATTTCCATCTCAATCTATAGACAATTGTTGCTTGTGTGGGAGATCTCAATAATGCACATGGGGGACACACGTGTGCATTATGCAACCATTTATCGTCCTTGCAAATATGGCGCATTTGACCTCGTAGGGACTTGTATGTGCTTTAATTGTGTTGCATTGTGTATGATGAATGTTGGATGAACACCACTCATTGCTAATTCCTTCATACATTTTGACCCTCATTGCTTGTAGGACTCAGTACATTTAACTACATCTTGATCGTGTGTTTGTAAAAGATGTTCATGATTGCTTGCATGTAGATGAGCCATGTTGAGTGTCACAAATCTTCTATTTTCTCAACTAGAGGAAGAAAAGTGATGCTTGAATAACAAAGGATCCTTTATTTTGACTGTTCAAGTCTCTTGCGATCGGACCCGAGTTCAAGTCATTTGTTATTTGCATCCAAGTCCAGTTCAACCTCATTTACTCAAGCTTGTTTTGAGTTTCACTTCACATTCAAGACACGGTTCATTGAGGTTCAAGCTCTAGTAATCTTGAAAGTTCAATTTCTTATCACTTTGGTTAAAGTTTAAGTTAGGTCCTTTATTTGCATTTGTCCAAGTTTTGAGTACAAGTATAGTTCAGGCTCAAGATGAGCCTCTTCCATTCGTCCGAGTCCCCTATAGTCCAACTCAAGTATTTGCTTGAGTTCAAATGTCCAAGATAACATTCTTTTTCAATTAGATTTGAGTTCATTTGAGTTCAAACCTAGTTCAATTTGAGTCCCAATCCGCCATCATTTGATTGAGTTTGATTTAAGTTTGAATTAAGGTTTTCATTCAAGTTTGCACTTAGTTCATTAATGTCCAGTTCACGTCCTTATTCTTTTGAATTCAAATCAGGTCCGAGTGCGGTCGTATATTCACCCGAAATTTTGGCAGCCTCCCGACATCTCCCACGTTTAGAGGAAAACTACGAGAAACTGATTTTTCACATAAAAAAATTTGATGTCTCTTAGAACTAATTTATTTGTATGTATGCTGGATCTTCATATAAAGCTAAGATGTTAAAGTCTTTGTCTGTACTATTATAAATATTTTAGCACGTTATAATTTGATGCCATTTGTAGGAAATTTCTAAAGTATTATAAACACCTATTTATTGACTAACTATCAATATTTTAATTGATGACAACATAATCTAGTTAGTGAAGGCCACCCAAACTTGAAATTGGAGGATCTCATCTACAAAAAGGATGAGCCATCAAGCTCAAATCATTTAGCTCCTTGAAAAGAGATCGGCTAAAAGAAAGCACCATCGTAGTATTATGCAATTCTCTTGCACAGAATCAACAATAGGCTAGAGCCGTTCAATTTGATAGCACCCATATAGGCCACCTCAACATCACATTGAAGTACATCTTCCACCACAACCTTATGAAGATCTCTTAGACGCTACTAGTTCAACCCCCTTTTTTTTTTCTCATGCTACCTAATTAGCCTTCCATCCCTTCACATCCTTGGAGGACATGATCGAAATTCTTATTGATGCCCCTCATGATGTCATAAAAGATGAATTTTGATGTATTATTTAGGAGGAGTTTCCTTTAAAGAATATGATAGCTTACTCCTTGCCTTATTCGTAACCTTGACTTACATAATTCTATTGCATTCTATTCCATAGTATCATGGGTATCTAACAGATCCAATAAGAAAATCCTATTACTAAAGCAACCTAATGACATTGAGCTCCTCATCTCACTATGATTTGTAGAAGAATCAATATATAATCTTTTATCACTAGGAGGCAATCAGAGAGATGATATTTTCAAGTAAGGTTTTATGAATAAAATTACAATTTTTTTTTTTCATTTGAAAAGATCCAATGAGGATAAGTAGTATACAAGATCTCCATACAAAACTCTGTGAAAACATACCCACAAGGAAGCTTTGATGGGAAGCTAGTAGTGATTATGGTCTTCACTTGAAAGGCTCTGTGAGAGCAAATAGTTGTCAGGGTCCTTACTCATCTAAAATTTATAGAAGGCAGAAGCCTCAAAAGGTACACGTTATTTTTAAAAAACTCAGAAGACATAAATTTCAAATGGTGCATATTCTTTTTAAAAATCTCAGAAGGTATAAGCTTAAGAAATTATAATTTAAAAAAAAAACTTTAGAAGAACATAAGGCCTCAAAATATGCAAGTTTTTATCTCATAAAAATCATAGAAGGTATGAGCCTTAGAAGATATAATTTTTTTTCCCAAATTTTAGACGACATACGCCTTATAGAAGGTACATGCTTCTTTTTCATGAATCTCTGAAAGCACAAGCCTCAAAAGGTTTTTCTTTCTTTAAAAAATCCCTTAAGTCCCTCAAAAAAGTATAAATTTGTATACTTATTTGAAAATTTCAGAAGGCTTAAGCTTTAAAACATATAAAATTTTCATTTATCCAAGAATTTTAGAAGTCACAAGGCTTGGTGGATTCACAATCTTGATTCATTTAAAGATATTACTTATTAGAGATGCAAATTGATTCAAAAAGCCTAACGAGTATATAGTGCATGTCAAAGTCATCAACTAAAGTATTGAGGTCATTATGTTCCAATTGGAAGACAATATCTTTTTTAACTTAGTCATGTATTCACTTATGATATGTTGGATTTCTAATAAGACTTGAAGATTTTAAATGTCTCGAAGACATAAAAAGTTGTCTTCTATAGGAGGCAAGTTCTCAGAATGATAGATCGCTCTTATATAAAGATTGTGAATTTAGTAATTATCATTATTACTTCCTACAATTTGATTGTAAACATTTTTCAAGTTTGTATATTTTACATGAAAAAACATACTGGCTAGACAAATAAGTTGTATTTTAAAGCCACGTATAAAATTATTGTCTTTACATGATGTCAACATACTTTTCATCATCATCATCATCATCATTATCAGGGATTTCTTGAAGTCTTTTACAACCATCAAATCTTCAAATTCTTGCCTCATCTTTTAATAGGTGATATTATTCCTCCTGAAATTTGTTGCAAGGATGTGACTTCTTTCTAAATCACAACTTATTAGAAATTATTTTTAAAAGCTTTTTATACTAACAAGCTGTCTTTTACAACATCTTTATTTTATCTACAGTAACTTTGCAAAGTAGTAAGCTGTCAAATGAGATTAATTATTCTGTACTGACGATGAATGCCGTCCGAAGACCAACCAAAATGCGTCATGTCACCCCTTTACTGTGTACCGCGGTTCGGTATTGCTCTGTACCGTTGATGTGATAACACCTGATTTTCCTCCAGACGCAGAGCTGCATACAGCCTCCGGCCTCCGCATAGAATAGTTTCTCCTCAAATGAAACCTAAATTTGTGTTTTAAATATTTTTAGTTTCAGACCGAAGTCACAATAGCATTACTACAATTTGATTTCAACTGTTTGTTATGTTTGTCCTGTTGGAAAATTCAAGAACTTGCTCTCTGAATTCTGAGACATTTTTCTTTGTTTCCCGTTGCTTCAGCAATGAATATTTTGATTGTTGAAAATTCATGGAAATGTTATTTGATTTCAATTAATGTTTATTTCTGTTTATTGAAATTTGTAGCTTATGTTTGGCGTCCCTCAGCCATGCAAGTTTCACCAGAAAGAAGTTGACATTTGTAGAAATCTGGTCTTGTTGGTGAAGAACTTTGTTCAGCAACACGAAACTAAACTTAAGAGGAATTATTAGTTCTTCTTTTTCTGTTTAGAGTTTCTCCAAAACTAAGTTGACTGGGAGCCGACAAAGGGGGAACGGTCGACTCCTCGGGCCTCTTGCATTCAGGCTTATGATTTTAGAGATTATTAATGGCGAATAGTTCGATTGGTATTGTTGTTGCGCTGATTATTTTTCTTTGATCGTGTTTTATGAACTAAAATCATTATATTTCTTCATGAAAATGATTTTTTAAATATGTTTTTCATATAAATTATTTTAGTTTAAAATGTTGAGGCTTGAGAAAAGTGGAAAAATGGGTTGATACTTGTTGGCCTTTCCATGTACTATTAAACATACAATAATAACAACATCAAATTTTTATCTCACTACATGAGATCTGTTAGATGAATCTTTTTTTTTTTTCATTGTATCATATTAAGAGTAAAATTTTCATTTAAATTTAGTTAGATCACATTTTGAATTAGGTTTGATTTGATCATTTTATTAGTTGTTCATATTTGAATTAAATTTTATGATTGAGTTTGTATAAATTTAATAAATAAGCTCATAAATAAGTATTTCCTAAACTCAAATATTTCTAATATTATAAGTAATATTTTTAGGTTTAAGTTGTTAAATAAGTTGAAATTAATATTTAGGCTTTGTTTGAGACAGTTTTTTTATTGTTTTGTAAAACAATTTTTTAGTAAAAAAAACATTGTTTTAAAAAACAGTAATAAAGTTGTCTCAAATAAATTCTTAATTATTTAAAATTAATTAAAATTTCATTTGGGATAATTTTATTATTATTTTTTAAAGTAAAATTTTAGTTAAAAAACATTTTGAATTAAAAGTTTTTCTACTAGAAAGTTATTTTAGGAAGTCATAGAAAAACTATAAATAAGGCATCATTTAGGATGGCTTTCTTATCATTTTTTAAAGCATTTTTTTAGTAAAAATAATTTATTGAACTAAAAAATTTTATATTAAAAATTGTTTTAAAAAACAATAAAAAAGACATCCCAAATGAAGCTTAATTCACAACATCTAATGGTGTAGCGTTAATGTTGTGCTCATGCAGTAGCAATTATCATAAACTGAGTTGTTTGTTGAATAGGAATTGTAAACGATGGACTTTTAAAATATAAGTTTAAAATTAAATTAAGATTTTTTTTTTTGATAATTTCCTTAATGTAATTTCAGTTTTTGTTTGTCTATTATTTTATTATTGCCTTGAAAAAAATTATTGTACTAAAAAATTGCTTTTAAAGTGACTTTTGAAAAAGTTGTTTTCATCGCAATAGCTTTATAACTATCTTTTAAAAAAATTTCCGTTGTCTCATTTGAATCCTAAGAGATATGAAAAAGGAACTTAACTAAATATAAATAAATATTATATAATAATGATAATAAATAATTAAAAAAGCTCAATAAAATAGAATAGATGCACATAAATCTCTCTCTCTCTTTAAGATTTTGTCGGTGAAATATATACATTAAAAAAATACATAAAAATTATTTGAATTTAATTTTTGATTCATGAAGTTTGAAAGAAAATAGCTCATTTTTATTTAAAAAGAATTTTTTTGATAAACTAATTAATTTTGTAACATAAGATATTTCTCTTGTATGGCTACTTTTTTCATTAATGGTGGAAAAAAGCCTTGCTTGGGCACATGCGCCACTAAAATAAATGAGCACACCATTCTCGCTGCCCATTATTAAAAGCTTCATAACTTTGGAGCCTAATAAAAAAATCCTTTTCGTATTGGAGCTTTATGAATGGATAAAATTTTTATGATTTTAAATTTCATCTTTGCCACTCAAAGAACTAGTTGTTTTATTTTCATCCTTTTTTGTGATGACTAGTTCATCATACAAGCTTTCTTCTATATTGTATACATTATCTAACGAGAGATGGTACACATTATCTTGATATATGATATAGATGTGTAGTCTCCTAAAGAAGCCAAGTTCACCTTATAGGAGGCAATGGCTTCCCAAAGAATCTTGGCAGAAGATAATGGAGAATGGAAGAAGCAGTGGGCAACTTACGGATAGGATAGCCGATGGCTTGCCATTGAGGTCGTCGATGACTTGGGATGTAACTATCAACTTGGTCGTCATGACTCATGACCCAACATGATTCAACCCTTATATAAGACAAGTCATATCATGTTGGATGCATAACAGGTGGTGCTAATTGGAAGGAATTTTCTCTCTCTCTTATTATTATTATTTATATATGTTGCATCCTAGAACATTCTTAGCGGTAGAGAGATATAAGAAAGACCAAGATTTTTACGTGAAAAATCCTGAAGAGGGAAAAATTCATGGGGCATGGCTCAGTTAAAATGATTTTACTAGTGCTTATTGTTGTTTACAAATGAGGCCCATCCTTCAGGGAATGCATTGGCTCGATGTAGCAAATATACATCATATAAAACACATTACATGGTGGGAGTTGGAAGAATCTAGTGATATGAGAGCTATTCTCAAGAGAGAGTTTGCCTATTTGTTTGGTCAGTAGGATCGTAGTCGGATGGTGGTGGTTGAAAGGAGCATAGTCGGGTGATGATGATCGGAGGGACCATATTCAGGCGACATTGGTTAGAGAGACCATTATTGATGGGGAATAGAAGTTGAATGGACCGTAGTTGGGTGATGGTGGTCGAAGAAACTGTAGTCGATGGGTGGAAAAAGTTAGGAGGTTGTAGGGACCATAGTCAGTGTGCGGTGAAGGTTGGAAGGTTAGATGGATTGTAGTCGACGAACAATGGTGATTGGAGGGACTGTAGTCAGCCGGCGATGGAGGTTGGAGGGATTATAGTCGGCAGGAAATTTATGTTGGAGTCTTAGAGGGAATGTTGTCAGTGGGTGAAGAAGGTCAAAGGGATTGTAATCCACGGGTGGCAATGGTCATATGGATCTTAGTTCACGGGCGACGGAGATCCAAAAACTGTAGTTGGTTGGCGACGGTGGTCGGAGAGACTATAGTTAGGCGATAGTGGACAGAGGGATCATAGTCGGGTGATTTTGGACGAAGGGACCGTAGTCAGATAGGCGGTAGGTGGGAGTTTAGTTAGGTATATTATAGTCAGCACGCGATCTAGATCAGAGGGATCATAGTAAGCAAGCGACGATGGTTGGAGAGGCTGTAGTCCGCGGGCGATGGAGGTCAGAGAGGTCGTAGTTGGTGGGTGATTGAGGTCAGAAAGACTGTAGTAGGCGGGTGATGAGATCACAAGGTCGGAGGGACCTTACTTGGTTGGCGAGGGACATAGGAAGGATCGTAGTTGGCTAGTTATGGTGGTCTGATGGCCATAGGAAGCTTGATGGTGGTCCAACGTGTCAGTAGACAAGCGATGGTTTAGCAATTGGTGGTCCAACGACGATCGACAAACAAGTGGTAGTTGATGGAAGTTCGTCGATGATGGTGCTTGGGTAAAACTCTAGAATCCTTGAAGTCACATATCTTCCTCAAATCTCCATCCAAAAGGTTTATGCTCCCAAAGGTCCAAGACCCTTTATGTTGGAAGATGAAGTCTATTTATAGGTTTTGAGAATGACATGCCCAGTAAATATGGAGAAGATCTGGAAAAAATATAAAGTGTTCCATTGCACAACCTATACTGATTCCCTTGAATATTTAATATTTATCAAGCATTTAAGTCCCTTAATGATATCTTAATAAAGTAATCTTGGACATGTTGGATTCTTCTCATCGAGCTACTCGATTTGAATGTAAGCATGCCATATTTAGAGATCATTTAATCATCTAATTAATGCTTTGAATCCTCTAAATATGCTTAAGTCCCATGATTTGGACCCATTTGGATTCGGATTGAATCGATTTTGTTGTCTCTGGGTTCGTCTCTTCAAGATGTTCATTTTGACTATATGTTTTAAGAAATTGGAGTTCGAATGGTATGGTATTTAATTTTAAGATATTCCAACTTGAATAATCCTTGAGATTTGTGCTCGATCAAGACGATTTTGGGTGATGTATTAGTTGCTCCATATTTTTTGATGCAAATCTTGTAGAGTTAAAAAAATATATTCCTGTGACTTAAAAAATGTTGGGATGTAAAATTATTACATTAAAAAAATTTTGAGGCCTAACCTATTTTTGGACGTCAACATGAACGTCAACGAAAGGTCAAAAACCTAAATAAAGTTTTCTTTTTTGAATTTGGGGAGTTGGTTGAAATGGAAATTATTTATAAATTTAATAAATATATTTAATATACTTGTAAGTGAAAAATTGAAGCATTCCTTTTAATTTAAATCATCATTTCATTTAAGGAAATATATAATTTAGAATATCAAAAGCTTTTATTTTCTTTGACTTAAATTTTGTTTGTAGAAAACTTCCATTTTTTTTTTGGGAGAATTGAGGGCTTACCCCATTCTTTTAAAAAACCAACTGGATTACAATGAATTAAACCAAAAAAGCATTGCCTGAACAAGAAGAAGGCAAGCAGCAATTACAAAAATTAAAACCAACTATAAACCCCAAAAAGAAGAACCCAAAAAGCAGACAGTAAGACCTATCTGGCCTGGACTCAGAATAAAATTATCCAATCATGAAGGCGATCAGTCTCCTTTGGTTGCCTGTAGACCATCCAAAAGGAGTGGCCGGATTCATCATCGTCCACGACCCAAAAATAAGCCTGCCCAAAAACTCAAATCTGACAAAAAAGCAGCAGAAGAAGGATTTGGGAAGCAACAGAGAATGCCACCAGTAAATGCAAATGGAAATTATGGCCTGCCAAATAATTCCATCACCGTCCAGCTCCAACCCAACAAC